CCCAGTTGTAGTAGTTTCATTTTTTTCTTAATTGTTTTCTTTGCTTGATGCAGACTATTAGTTTGAACCTTCTGAAACAGAATAATCTCTTTCCCACAATCATGGAATATGTCGTCCAACATGTTTTGGTTTTTGTGTGTGTGTGTGTGTGTGTGTGTTTTGTTTTTTGTTTGTTTTTTTTTAACCGTCCTGTTATGTTGCGGGTCAGATTGACCCAGAACAGAAGAGATGTCACACGTCATCTGCATCACTACAGAAAACAAGAAAAAAAAAATCAAAATTATAAAAGAAAATTGTAAAATAATCAATGCCAGTGTTTCTGACACTTTTGGATGAGTAAATTTGCTCCGGGTCAAATTAACCCAGGAGCATAAATGGTGTTCCTGGAAACCAACATAACAGGAGGGTTAAATGCGAAGCATCAGTTAGGATTGAAACATATTAGTCACTGTTAATTATGTGGTTCTTACTTATTTACTAAGTTAAATCCATTTGTAAACAGATTTGGTAGCTTTGCTTTGTTTGGCTGTCTTCTGTGGAACAAACTAGACTAGTATGCACAGATAGGACCAACAACAGTGCTAGCTGTTTGAAGTTAAGCCACACATGCACAAATGATTAACTACCATTATTTCAGTCATATAACATTTATATTAATGTATAAAATGTCAACCTTTTTGGAGTGGTAAAGGCATTTAAAAAAACACCTTTGCTCAATAATTGCAGGGACATATTGAACAATTATTTAGCATCGAGACTCATTTTGGTAAATTTCTAAGGAGTTCCACAGAGCATCGTTTGATGGCTTTAGATGTCTTTGGCTTTGCATGTTTTTCCTCTCTTTGCTGCACACTTTAGTGGTCCTGCTCCTTGCAGCTCATCGCAGACTGTCCCATTTGGGCTGTTAAATAATGGCAACAATTTTTAGCTTTATTATTGTGGCCAGAAGGCGAACGTGTTACATTTGACTTGCAAATAACAGTGAAAATGTATATTTTAAGAAACAAAAATGGTCACAAGAATCACTGATGACAAAATGTTAGCTTAACTGTTTTAATTTAAATCTGTGTCATTTGCTGCTGTCTGTAGTCGATGTGACACCTTGTGCTCATTGGTTATCAAATTTTAACTGTGAGAAAACCGCTGCGATTTGATATTCTGACACACTGCTCACAGCTATGTTACTAACTCCCTCATCTTTCTGTCTCTTAGGTAACAGTGCCCTCAATCAGAAACAGAAAGACATGCAGTATGTACAGATGATGAAGTCCAAGTGGATGCTGAAGATGGGCATAAGCCACAACACCATCAAGCAGAAGCACTTCAGAGCCCAAGTTATGTTCTAAACTCGGACTGAATAACAGGACGGAGCTAAATGAGAAATGGACTGGCGAGCTCTGAAGTTTAACATCTTCACTAACTCCAAGAAATCAGGCAGATGTCCTTGAACAGTGGTAGGAGCAGAAATCGGGCTCGTCAAACACACAGACTGTATGAAAAGGATGGATGTGGCCATTGTGTCACTCACTGGTTTGTGAAGTCTTGTTTTTAAGCCTCAAACACAGAAAATTGTCAGTCACACTTTTAAGCGAGATGTCATAAGTAATGTGTGGATTAGACCAGGAAACCAAAAGATACTACATGGTTGTACTCTGGATCCTTATTTATCACAGGGTAGCCAAGACCTCAAATTATGTTCTTCTTCATCAACTATTTTACTCTAAATACGACCGAGATTCCCAAAATTTAAAATGTGTTAAATATGAGTTGAAACCAGTGAATGCTCATCAGAAAAGGTCATAGATAAAGTGAAAAAAATGCAGGTTTCAAGCATTTCTCCATTGGATGCACTCATCTTTTGTGTACAGCCTATACTGAAAACCG